TCATTGGTATTTATATATTAATTAATATTAAATATGTATTTATATATATATATATAATATCGTTTTGCTCTTTTCAAATAACTCTCCAGTGAAAGTGTTGGTTGAATAAAGGGGATCTAACAAAGTTGAAATAATCCATTGCTCTTTGTTTATTACTTTTTGTAGATGTTTTTCCATGAAATAGTAGAGCGCCAAATAGAACTTCATTTCAATAGAAAGTCTCTCGGTGTCAATTTCAAAATTAAATATTAATTCTTTTAAATAAACACAATATGCCGTTTTTATTCCAAAAATGGTTATTTCTATATATTTTTCATTACATTTAGCAATTCTCTTTTCCACAGCGACTTTTATACAAACTTTATCCATTTTATCTCGAAGTTTTTCACATATACAAAAAGCCGAAGGAATTACAAAAGAAGACTTGCAATAATTTTCACCACCAAGAAGTGTTGTTTCATTTTTTATTAATTCTAATACATCAACAATGCTTTCAAGTAAATCAAAATCTGGTATTTTTAATTTATCAACATGTCTGTTTTCTTGAACAGTTCCTCTAATCCGAGTCTTTTCTGCAGAACACTTTCTATCATTAAACAAGCAGTATTAAATCTTGTTTCTACTCTTCTAACAAACAAATTACTATAATCTTCATCAATATCATATTCACTTTCTTTTGTGGTTGATGTCGAATTAGTGATACCGTGAAGAATACGACGTTTTTATTCTTTTTGGAGACATTCGTATTGTAATATTTCAAAGTCTTCTTTTATTGTTAAACCTTGCAACGATACGATCACATAAAAATAATTGATCTTCTATTTCAATGACAGTTTCTATTGTATTTCTCATACAGGTCTGATAATTGTGCGCATTGCAATTCAGTCAATTTATTATTGGAAGAAATTCATGTTGTTTATTTGGAGCAAACTCGGATAAACTATCTCCAAAAACACATATCATATTAGCTCCTTCGTCTGTTACTATTATAACTTCACCATCTTTTTCATTTAATGTAATATCATATTCATATAACATTTTACGAAACGTTTCATAATGTGATTTTGAAGTTATTGGCCTTTCAAGTGTTGGGCAAGAAAGTAGCATAACGCACACATCATCACTTTGTTTATAAATGACACGCGAAAGCAATTTTCTCTCCTTTGTTACGACAGTTAAAGGTTCTTCCATCGGAAGTGAAAGAAATACATGACAATCTTTCAATTTTTAACATTTTCATTAATAATTTTTTATCTCTTTTTGTATTTGTTTCGTTTCTTTTTTTCAATTTTTCGACTCCAGGCGGAATGTACTTTCCATCTGAAATCGTCTTGCAAAATATTTGAAATAATTCATTTTTTACAATTGAAAACGGCAACATTTTTCCTGATATCATTTTTATTAAAAATTTATTGAAATTTTCTTTTGTTACTTTGTCAAATTTTGTGCCTTCTGTTTTTTTAAAATGTTTATATTTTTTTATTGTAAATTAAATTATTAATGTCTTCGTGTTGATGTTTAAGATGCTGAATAAGAGGATATTTGTCTTTCTTTTTCCATTTATTCATTACTGGTTTGTAAACAAAATTACAATTATTACAAATGCACTCATCTTTGTCTGTAGTATTCACTGAAAAATAATCCATTAATTTGGGTTCTTTTTCGATTTCACACATATTTGTATTTAAGTTCGATCTACTTAAATATTCAAGATAACTTGTTAATATATTTATAATATTTGAAATTCATTATTTGAAATACAATTTTTAAAAAAATAACAATTCCATGTTTACAGTAGACCAAATAATTGTAAGAAGTAAAATAAATAGTTTTAAAATATTAATCAAGAACTATTTTTAAAAATAGAAATGGGTTTCTTACCATTATTTGGTTAACTTTTTTTTTACTTTTTTCAATAGTCGTTTCCAAGGTAATTTACGGGAAATACATCCTTCTTACAATTATTTGGTCTCTGATAATTATTTGGTCAACTGTAAACACATTTAAAAACGTTTATCCATTGTTTTAATCGTGTTTGTTTTTTAGTATGAATTAATTAATAATGCCGATTTATTTTTTTTTTGGTTTTTTATTATTATTAAATTTTTGTATTTTTTTAAATCATTTTTACAATCTTTTTATTTTTATTTTTTAGTATTTTTTGGTAAAAAGGTAAAATTTTATACTTTATACCGGAATAGGTAAAATAAATTTTACTTTTTTCCGTCAACCTTATTTTTGTTCTGTTTAGCTTTTAAGTTTTTTTAAAATAAATTCACAAAACGATTTTTTGGTATAAAAAATAAATAGTTCCATAATGATAATTGTATATTATTATTTGTTTTTATTTATTTTTTTGGGAAAATCACCTAATATTAATTCAAAATTATTTAAACAGTTTTGGGACAAATTTTTAAAAAAGTGTTAAAAAGAGCAGTATTGGGTTTAGACGAGTTAATATGTTTTTTTGTAATTCAAAAAATTGTCATAATTTATTAAACTAAAAAATTTAAAAAATAACATTAAAAAGAAACTCAAAATATAAAATGACAAGACTTGAAATGGTGTATTTAATGAACGTAGTTTTATACTTTCGAATTTCTGATATTAAAAACTTCTTTTTTGTTTCAAAAAACACCAAAAACAGTTGTAAAGCAATGAAAACAAATCCGTGGTCTTTTGAGTGTACTACAGACAACACCTTTTTAATTATTTCCAAGTTTTTCCCAAACATTCAAACACTCCGACTTCCAAACACTCTGCTTATAGCTTCTCGTATATATTTTACACCAAACAGTCTTATGTATGACAATTTTGTTTCCAAATATACCAACACAAAATTAAAAATTGATAACATTCATAACAAACAAGATGAAAATTGCAATATTTTTAATATAACAGATTTTTCTCAAACCATTAAATATTTGAGTTATGACAATTA